TCCCCAACCATGTGGGCATGGTAAATTCCACTTGCCCCCAGAATTATGGGGAGGACATGTTAAAAATTGTGCTCAACCAAGGATCCAGAATGGGACTACTCTGCATTCAGAATTATGAGGAGACAATAGACCCTTTTCCATGAACAATGTACTGAACCAATATTGATCAATAAGAAGGACCATGCTCAACCAGATAGGATGAGTGTCAAATCTGAATTGGTATTATGAGCAGGCTCCTGCATAGGCTGGTGCCTCCCCCACTGACATCTGGGAAAAAGATCCAGGGAACTGTGTAGGAGGACCCCCAGCATCACCCTCTTCTCTAAGAGTGGAGGAATTAATTCTAACATTCTGCAGGAAAAGCCTCTGTCCAACACCCCAGTGACTGGAAACCAGGCATGATTCTTTCCACTAGTAGAATCTGGGAGATAATGCATGCTGGGGAATCCTGAGGATCAGTGCTCTGGGAACAGTGCATTAGGTGAACCAAATTCCATAATTTTTTAAAACAAACTGACCCTGATTTTTTCAATCCAATGATCAACAGGGAAAGGCAGGATCCCCTTATGCTTTACTCATGATAGTCCATGAGTGGTGGTTCAGCATGGTACAGTAATACCACTTGGTTAGCCTCTAGGTGGTCTTATGGAACACCTCATTTCTACAGAGCCTGTTGCAACCTAGATAAAGTATATTGAATTACTGATTGAATGTGGAAGTGGTTTCATAAAAGCACACCTGCCTGGGCAACACTTGCCACAGAGTGGGATTCTATGAAAACTAGGTAAGGGACCCCCGAGAGGTAGCTATGAAAATATTAACCCCTCCATATATTCTAGCAGAAGTGGTTAAGACAGCTACAGATGAAGATACTGCCAAATCCGTGGTTAAGGTTACCACATGTCCAGAAATTCTCCAAGCTTAGCCACCATAGACCCTGAAGACATACACTAAACAGCAAAGCCTCTGGCAGCAATATGACCAAGCAGCAGAACCCTAGGATATAGACAGAATCTATTCTGTGTACCAATGTACTGAGGGGCTGATGTTGGGACCTTGAATAGGGGTGGAACTATTGCCCTCTATAGGTGCTGATGAAATTCGAGATGCCAACAACAGCAGAGATAAATATAAAAGCCAACAATTGAACCAATGTGCATGCTACCAATGGTTCCAGCTCATCAAAGAATTGGTGATCCTGAGAGTCTCCCAACAAAGTGAAGAGTAAGGAAAACAAAATGTAAACTTACCCTGTCCCACCAAGAGAAAATGGTCTCTTCAGGTTAACTACAAACTCCTAGAACCCCAAAATTGGAGGAGTAGATGTATTATTTGAGAGTCGCAATATGCTTCCACCTAGCTTTGGTAGGCTAAATCACTAAGTTCTAGCAACTGTGGCGGATAAGGCATAATTGTCCCTTCACGTAACTGAAAATTAAACCTCCCTGCATAAACCACAGTGTCCGTGGATGGAGAAAAAAACTAAATATTCACTCCCAGACTTTTCAGCCATCAAGTAAGGTGCAGGCTCAAAAGCAACTGGAGGACGACCCAAAACATCACACACTCTTTATGAACCAACTGAAGAAAACAAATCTAAGGCAGCTTATCCCAAAGTGGCCTCTTTTTTATTATTATTATTTTATTTCATTTAAAGACTGTTGTTTTGAACAACATTTAGAGCAAAGCAACACTGGGCTATCTGCTGTGTCCACTATAGGGAAATGAACCCTGGATTCCAGTACCACAAATCCACAAGCTCATCACTGTCCCACAAAGAGACTTAAAAGCCAAAAGACTAGAAGATGCAGGAAAAAGTTAATCTAAATTTTCTGCAGAATGTTGAGGATCATCCTCAATTGCAGCCTCAAAGCTCCCTGGAGGAACACCACAGAACCTAATATACGGCTCCATCTCACTATGAATAACATCACTGACAGACGGTGTCAGCTAAGAGTGACCCCCTCCCTGACTGTTGTGCAATGCAAAATATCAAAGGTGGGATAGAAGAGACCTGATTTGCTTCCGTGCCAGAAATAATAATCCGGGAATTCATACCATAAATCAGCTTGCTAATCAGGATATACATATATATTTTTTACGAAAATCATCTAGGTAACCTAGAGAATGCTCAAAGTATCTCGGATTTAATCGTAGCCCTTGGAAACCCATTAGTGATGCTTTGTAAAGAA